GGACCAGATGATCCCCAGAGGTCCCTTCCAACCCCTACCATTCTGTGATTCTGTGATTTTTGAATTCGTGGGACTGGCTCTAACAAGGAGGTGTTGGAGCTGGAAGCAACATTGCATTAGCAAAGATGATGCAAGAACTGGTGAGATGGAGCAGGGGCGTGAGCAGGAGTACTGCAGATGTGCATATGAGTAGTCCAAGCACATGATTACAGAAATACAGCAGAACTGCAAGTGCTATCATTATTATAAATGGAAAGAAAATCTACTTGTGCTGTTTTGAGTCCAGACACACTTATGTTACAGTTCCTTGCACAGTGTTTCAGATGCATCTGTTTGCACAATGTGTTCATCTCTTGGATGAATACTGAGCTACTACTTGCTGTCTGACGTATTATCTGCTGCATGCAGAAGACTTGTACGTGCTCTGGCCTCTAAGTCTTTTGCAGCAGTTGAAAAAGATCAGTTAGGATTTCGCCAGCTTAAAAGCTTCAAGCGCGTAACTATTTGAATAATCTTAATTCCTTCAATGAGTTATTGTGAAGAAAGGTAGTTAATATATACATAAGGTGCTGTCAGAATTTACAAAGAGCGTGACTAGAAACTATCTGAAGAAGAGAGATGGTATTAGCTCTCTATCTGGACACAGTAATCTGAGGTATTCACTATCTTAATTTTTAATGTCTCTTCTTTTCTTTGAAGATTTTTATTTTGTCCCTGCCTAACCAGGGTAGAGAAACTGTCTTGAATGCAGTCAGGAGATAAATCTTGTTCTGACTGGCAACTTACTCTGTTGTTTCTCCTGGGAGCGATTATTGTGGCTAAACATTAATCATCCATTTGTAGATACTGCTCTGAGCTCCTGATGGCTGCGGTGGAGGGGAGCGGGTGGGTGTCTGTCTAGACATCTTAGTGGTCTGTCTTTCTGGCCTAAACACCTTCAAAAATGGTTACTTCTCCTTTGAAGAACGAGCAGAATAAAGATGTACTTTGTATGTCTGAAACCCAGGGTAATAAAGTGCTGAAAGTCTGTCAGATTGTTTGATAATAAGTTCTGTGAGTTAAAAGAAGCATGAGATTGAAGTAACACCTCTCAGACTGTGAAAGTGATCTGCTCCCAGGTTATTCACATTTATTCAGGGAAGAGAGCTGCTGATCAAAGGTAGAGCTGTGGGAAAGACCACTGCTTGACAAGGAGAGCTGTGAACTGAGGTTGAAATATGAGGAGACTCAGATACTAAGCGTAAAGGTGAACATTAAACCTTTTTATAGATTGTTGTTTTAACTAATTTACTTGACTTCCTCAATTGGATGTTTTAAATGTCTAGGCTGACAACAGTATGCTGTCACCATATAAGTAGTCAATAACCTGCTAGGAGATTTGAAATGGAAGTTCTTGAATAAAAAAAGTACATTTGTATTTTATGAATGGTGATTTGGGGAGCTTGGAGAAGTCATCAAACTTTTAACAGTCAAAAAAACCCTTTAACATGGAATAAACACTTGTTCTATCAAAAGAGCTAAATGTGAAAATGTGAACGAAAGTTTTTTGCCAAAACCTCTATTCATTTTTCATTCTGAGCAGGCAGAGATTCATAAAAATAAATGCATGAGATTAGAAAACAGAGATAGCTTGCCTGATAATCAAAGTTAATGATGAAAATATAAAATTACTATTGTAGAACAGAGTCTAGATTCTCATATGTCATAACAGTGGCTTTGAAGGATCGGGGCTGTTGTGCAAGGAAAAATAATCAAGCCTAACCAGTTCTCTCCAAAAATTCCAAGATAAGTCGCGGGGCAGTGGGCAGTGTAAGCCGCATTCCAGCCTGATGAAAAGTATTCTGATTGCAAGATGAGAGCACTTGACTTTCCAGCTGGTGCATGTATGCCTGCTTGAGTTCTGGCTTCCTCACAGGTGATTTATTATTGAGGTAACTGTTAAGCAGGAGAAGTGTTTACTTAGGACATATTTAGAATATATACTGATTTTTGGCACATGATAGAAAAAGAACATTCTGTTCTTATGTCTTGCACGTGTCCAGGCTTTAACCCCCAACAAGTAAGAAGATTACTCTGTATAATAAAGCAGAAGTTTCAGGTAAAGCTAAGGCATGCTTCTCGAGGGTCCTTTTCATCTGCAGATGAAATAGAGGTATTATCCTTCTAGAGCTCTGGGTGTCTTTGCTTTTGGGGCCAAATTCGGAAGATGTCTAACTCATGGCATAATTTGTGTATGGGCAAGTGTCAGTGCAATCTAGCAAGAAGAGATAAGGCACATTTGTAGCAGAGCAAATAAGTTAGGAGAAGCTTCTTTGCCCGTCTCCTTTGAAATGAAAGTTCCCTTGGAGTTGGCATTTTATTATGTGTCAAATGATAATTTGTATAATAAGATGATACAGTGTTAGTTTTCTCAAGCCATTTTTCGCACCTTTTCACATAGTTCTAGCTGACATTTTTACATGTGTTCAAATAAGCAATCCTTGCAAATTTTTTTGGAGCTACAGAGTAAGCTGTGTAAAAAGAGTGTGGTTGAACCTGCTGCAGGGAAGGGGCTAGGAGATGTAAGGTCCTTTCTCAATTTTATCTGATTTTTTTCCTTTGAAGTTTTTGCATTTTCTGTCTGCACTTTTATATACTGTTTCTTATGTCATTTTATTAAACTGTAGATAATTTGCAAGATCAGTGGAGAAACATGCAGCTGTTTTCTCTTATTCACTGCTATAGTTTATTTTGAGGAGTACGTTTGCATCCAAGCCAAGGAACAGAAGAGGGGTTGACAACTTTTATATGGTCAAATTGCAATGGCTGCATAGTTAACTCTGAGTGCCACCTACCTCCTCAAGTCATGCATACAAAATGGAAGTGAATTAGAGGTGCTGTTTGAAGTGACTAAGATGTTTTTAAAATCTGTTGATGGCTTAAATAAACTTCTGTGACTAGATCTCTGAAGAAGCATTGTTGCTAGTCAAAAATTATTTCAGTCCCTAGTACCAAGATTATCACAGTTCAGAAAATTGATACAATTCCAAGAATATGTGATTGCCAATTTAAGATTTCATTTTAATAACTTATTAAACAAAGTAGCAAAAATACTCCTACCTCTTGTTTAATTTAATCTTGAATTGTTAATTATGAATTTGTTTGATTTTTAGAACATAGAATGTGCGTAATACTTCTCTTACGAACACTGATAATTTGTGCATTTATTTTCAGTACACTTTTTGGAACTTTGTACCGAAAAATTTGTTTGAGCAATTCAGAAGAATAGCTAACTTCTATTTTCTCATTATTTTCCTTGTTCAGGTAAGCTATTCCCATTTTTCAGTAGATTTCTGGACCATTCCTAAAAAACAAAGGAGTTGAAAAAGTCTTAAAAATACACTGGTTTTGATGACTGAGGAGGTAAATGGTTGAGCCTGGGCAGCCTTTCACACTGATGTGACAAAAGGAGTTTTATTTCATTTCCAGGTTATAAATGTGAATGTAACCTAAAGGGAAATTGACACTATCACTGGTTTGATGGCAGGATATCTCCTGATAAAATTGAAAAGACGAGTGTTGTCTTTATTTTATAGTAAACAAACATCCAGATTGGTAAAAACATTGTTATAAATTATGTTGATGGTAAACTTCAGTTAATTTTGCTAAATATTGTATTTTTTATAACAGAATGATGCCTTGGCAGAAACTTTCCAACTACACTGTCATCAAAGCCTGTAGAGAAACCAAAATATAGATGCTTATGCCATGCTTGCTTAGGGTGATACATAAATATTTGGGTTTGTAATTTTTACTTCAGATCACTAGTTTGCTTCTTTCTAGGTGACTTCATTCTGAACCATTCACAATTGCTTAAATATCTTAAGCAATAAAAATCTTACTAAGTGAAAAGTTGTATTACTTTGCATGCCAGATTGTGTAGAAAGAAAAGCTATGCAGATTTCCAGGGCAATTTAGATTTTCTTATCATTTGAACTCCCTCTGTGGATTCTGACTCTTTGTTTATAATTGCAGAAGCCCCAGCTCAGTATTTCAGGATTTGCTCCTTGCATGCATAAGAACAGCTGTATTGTATAACGTGTGAAAATGGTGCCATGCTAATTTCTTACGCTGCTCAGTAATTTTGCCTCAAAAGCTGCAGCTTTCCAGTCTGGTACTTACTTAAACTCTTGCAAGCAAATATTTTTACTAGGCATTAACATCTGAATGTATTATAGTTATCCTTCAAATTTTGTTGCTACAGTATATATTCTTAAAATTGTATTAGAGTACTGTTCTTTTTAATTAAAGTTCCTTGGTGAAAAGATTACGTGAAACATCTTGCTTGAAAAATTGACTGCTTACATTCACAAAAGTATAACCAGAAAATATTTGTTCCTTTTGTTGCAGTTAATTATTGATACACCTACTAGTCCAGTTACAAGTGGACTTCCACTTTTATTTGTCATCACTGTAACAGCTATCAAACAGGTGGGTAATTTAGTGAGCAAAAGTAAAACTAAAGAGAACGTGATTATTTGGTTTGCATTTCAATTTTCCCTGTCGTCTTACGTTAAACAGTCTTAGGGCAATGCATAAAAAATGATGGTGATGGATTTTGACAGAGTAATTTTATTTTTGTTTCTGTAGTTTAAGTAGAATTGGTTGTCGTATGATGATGTCTCACTAATTCAACACTAACTTCTAAATTATTTTATAATTTTTATGTCTTTGTGTTCCAAGGAGTCATTTACATTCTTGTGCTCACTTAGCACACTTCAGCTTTTGTTTGTTTGTTTCTAAATAGCTGTCCACATCCTATTATGTTTTTCCATAATGACTGAAAGTGATTTCAGTAAGAACTACAAAAACTTGTAAGATAAATCTACTCTTACCTTTGAGGTTTCCTTAGCCTTTACACTATTGAACAGATAATAAAACTTATTTTGGTTCAAGTCTTTAGTATGTGTTGGTTATAATCTCCAGTTCATAATGATAGCTGCAGTGCTTTCTACAGATTGGCATTGAACAGACATTATTGTATCCTCGAATTTTTTATGTGAAAATTAACCCGTAAAATTGAAATATTTGTTAGAAATCAGTTCTTGCCACATGATCAAGTATAGAAGATCCTAACAGAAGTTGTTCTGTCAAAATAGAATTGTATAATACAGGTATAGAAATGAACAGGGTTGCCATTTCACTTTCAAGTTAGTTCTGCCAGAAGGAAAAGATTAAGGTAGTTTTTCACCTGATACCCTAGTGCTGCAGTTGACACGGGCACTTACATGTAGATGGGATCTTACTGAAATTAGCGGAATCTCAGATTAATAAAGAACTTTTAATTGATGTGGGGATACTACAGTCAGATCTGCATGTCATTAGAGCTTCTGTTACGAAAGATTTGGTCTGCATCAGGAATGAGCTTATGATTGCCCTTTTGTTGGTTTATCCAGAGCTAAATTTGTTGACTGTGTGCGTTTCAGGCTAGCTACAGGACAGAGGAAAGCTGATCTCGCATGAACCTTGCTAGTGCAAAGTTAATTCATAAAAAATTTTCCTAAAGTTGAACTAGCAAGTAAGTTTATAAGCAGTAGTCTGCATTCAATGCCTACAATACTCTTCTGCATTTACTGTACCATCTCACCATAGCCACAGAGTAGTTTCTAAAAATCTGGGCTCCTAAAGTAATAGTCACAAATAATGGTCTTTACAGTGTTTCTGTTACATGTTTGGCTTTTTGCCTTGAGCCCAATGTAATGATATTTGCTCCTGCAGAACAGCTGTCAGTGTAAGAATTCAGTGGCACAGTGAGTTCCCTTTCATGGTTGAGTCTTCACTGTGTTTCTGGGTCTAGATACCAACCTTCATGTGAATGGAACATGAATATGGAAGGAATATCTGTGCAAACAGCTTGCCTTTCAGCATCTTTTGTTGGGCTGCTCAAAGCAGTTAGCACTATTAGTTGAGTCTTCACTGTGTCTCTGGGTCTAGACACCAACCTTTCTTCCCTTCATTTCAGTGAATGGAACGTGAATATGGAAGGAATATCTGTGCAAACAGCTTGCCTTTCAGCATCTTTTGCTGGGCTGCTCAAAGCAGTTTGCACTACTCATGGGCATAAAAAAGATTTCTCATGTCATGCTTCCAAAAAACAGTTGTCTTTTTGGGGAAAAAAAAAACCAAACCATGAAGTAGTTGAACATCAAGACTGTTTCTAGCTCGGAGTGCTCCTCATTGTAGCTCAAAAGTTGTGGGGGGGGTCTTTATGTCTTATGTACCTATGATGGACTATGATGATTGAAACAATGACTAACAAAAATGAGGATGTGGTGTGTTGACCCTGGCCAGGAGCCAAACACCCACCTGGCCTCTAACTCACTCCCATGTCCTGTGGAAAATAGAGGGAAGGTGAAAAGAATTATGTA